ATAGCCGTCTAATAATTAAGTTAATTAAAATATGCAACATTTCCCCCTAAAATGTTGACTAACGGGAACCAAATAGAAACGCAAAGTACCTAAAAATTGTGCTTAACTTTCCACCACTGTCTCTCACACACGTACACAAAATACACATAAACACACTTGGACCAAACATCAAAGTCTGCAGCATGAAAGGCTCATATTTGACAACAGCTGCATGAATCAACGACTGAACTTTTTTTATAGATTTCTTCCATTTTTCCCCATGAGATTTATAAATCTGGATATTATGGTTTGTCAGTTTCTGTGGCATAAGACCAGTCAAAATGTAGATTTGGAGATGTAGGTGCAGACAGAGGTTTTAAAGGAACGGTTTGACATTTAGGGAAATACTCTTATTTGCTATCTTGCTTGACTGATAGCATGGAGTCAGTGCTGGAAGTCCATTATCTCAGCTTAGCATAAAGGGGGTCAACCCTATGTTCCCTCAGCCCAATGTGGTTAGGGTTAGGGTTAGGGGGAGAAAGGGGGAGAAAATCTGATACAAATTTATGAAAAAGGAAATGTGGGAACATAGGGCCAAATTTTGAAAAAAATCTTAGAAATGTGGGAACGTAGGGCTGTGGGAACATAGGCACGCTCCAGCGCAAAGAACAACTACCCTTACTCACTCCAAAGTTAGAAAATACACCCACCAACTCTCTTATTTGCATATTATGGCTTGGTTGTAAAAACCCAAATTTAAAAAACAACATGTAGCTACACTAGGAAGTTATATGGTAACTAATTGTTTGGCAACCAGCAGCCAAGTGCAATGACTACCCTGAATCTCCACTTGTCGCCTGGCAACCTTACATTGGATGACAAGATTCCTAGAAGTCACTGACCCAGAGAGAAATGTCAGTCCAACACTTTGGTCCTCCTCAACAACTATTGGATGGACAGCCATTACATTTTTTTTTGTGCAGAAATTTGTGGTTCCCAGAGACTGAATCCTGATGACTTTGGTGAGCCCTTCTGATGGAACACCGCCTGCAGGTTGGCATTTTTGTTTTTTAGTGAAATGTCTAGTGGGACATGGTACAGACATCCAACTGTAATCATGCTGATGATCAGTTAACGTCATCTAGTGCCACCGTCAGGTCAACAATTCAGTTTCAGTACTTTGGTTTATGACCAAATACCCGACATTCCTGTCCACCATACTTTGTGTTTAGTGCAAATTAAGAAATGCTAGCATGCTAACACGCCAAACCATGATGGTCGATAACACAGTAACATTACACCTGTTAAACACTGGAAGTATTGTCATTGTGAGCATGTTAGCATGATGTCTTTAGCATTTAGCTGGAAGCACCACTGTGCCTAATTGCAGCATCACAGAGCCTCAAACGTCATCAATACATTTTGGTTTGTGTACAGTTTAAACAAACAAGACACGTGTTAGTTAGCAAACTGGTGGAAGCTTCGAATTGTACCAGGCTCATCGTCTCCCGTTTCTAGTCCGTATGCTAAGCTAAACTAGTCACCTCCCTGGTCTAGCTCCATAGAGCTAGTAACTGTATCGACTGATCTACAACCTGAATATGCAGGTAATACAGTATATGCCGCTGGCACTGTAAGGTAGTGGTGACGCCAGAGTAAGGTCTGGCCTAGTATCTACTGTGGCTGCCGTCTTATCATCTTCCAGCAGCCAGCAATGCGGGGGCAGAGAGGCCTGAGAGAAGAGAGGAGAGACAGCACCAAAAATAAAGGCTACAGAGCACATAAAAAGGAGGTCAATACGGGTCATATAGGAAGTAATAAAAAAAGTTCTTGAAAAAGTTCAAGTTTATTTATACTTTAATGTCAACCCCAAAAAAGAGAAGAGTGAACACGCCTTTAGTATTTTATTCTCATTTCCATGTTTTCACATTTTCTCTTCTTCAAATGAAATGTTTAAATACAGATATTCTGGTCTGACTGTCTGTACACTGTTAGCACTGAGAGTGAGTTATTTATTCACGTTCCCTTAGCATCTGTTTTGTCCCCACTCAAGGAAGGGATGAGTTATCAAATAGCTTTTTTATTTTTTCACAAAGAAGTTACCTTACTGCCTGTTTCAAGCGGCAACACACACAACAAGCCGGACTTCTGATTCACCTTCTCCATCGCCACACCTCGGCCTTTAACCACAAACAAAATAGAAGCCCTCTGCATTTAACATGCCTTAGTTAGCCGTGTCAGCTGGCGCAAGGACAGGCATGCTGTTAAACAAGAGCTGCATGTCACGTTCATGAACATGAACACACGCAGGGAGAGAGAGAGAGAGAGGGAGAGGGGGAGACATTGCTGTGACCTTTCACCTATTTACTAACCGGCTTTGGAAACTGTGGGAATCCTGTGAAGCCAGGCAACTTCAGTGAAAGCTCTGGCATGGATTAAGAAGAAAACAGAGGCAGACAATGGAAAGCCATGACCTCTTCTCTTGCCGTGTCCTTGAGCAGTGTATTCAAGCCCCCAAGTATTTGTAAATGATGTGGTTGTAATCACACCCATGAAAGGATAATTACTACAAATATAATGTTCCATTCATCCTGTATCATAGCTACTGACATGGCAGTACATGTTATAAGAACATGATATAACAAGTTCCACCAGGCCTATGACTTCTTCTGATTAGTTTTGTGAACACAAACATTAACACAAGCACAGATGCACAAACTGTTCTTGCTAAATGTTTGTGTTCACTGTGTTACCAGGGTTTGGATATCATCATCTCTGCAGGATGAATATGTGTACTGTGTGTGTGTGTGTGTGTGTGTGTGTGTGTGTGTGTGTGTGTGTGTGTGTGTGTGTGTGTGTGTGTGTGTGTGTGTGTGTGTGTGTGTGTGTGTGTGTGTGTGTGTGTGTGTGTGTGTGTGTGTGTGTGTGAGAGAGAGAGTTGCCTAGCACCTGGTAACTGTATAGGCTGAAACCTTATCATCTTTCCTTTAGAAAGCTCATGCTGTGCTGGACTCTTGCTATCGTGTCTCACCGCTGTGACAAAGTCTATGTAGAAACATTACTTAAGAAAGGAGCCCGTATGAGACGCAGGCATCTGGAGACACAGCCCTTTTAGGTGTGGTTCATTTGTTTTCAATTTGCGTTCGAGATGTCCAGTCATAGAGCCAGGCCTGGTTACTCATATGTACATTCCTGTGTATTATAAAGCAAAACATGACATACTGTAAACTGAGTACAGTGCATTGCCGTGATAAAAAATACAAAATGACTTTACTACTAGTATAGTTATTCAACCATCTGTATACAGTAACTACAATATCACATAAAAAACATCACAAAGTCTTATCTGTGTACATACATATTAAATAATCAGGAAGAGCTTTTCAGATTGCAGTTACTACATTTCAGATCAGTCATTAATCGGGTAAAATTATAGGATTATGCTCAAATTTGACAAAATGACCGTTCTAATATGACTGATATCTACTACTGAACTAAGTTTCAGCTGGCAGGGAGGACATAGGAATCCAAAACTCTCATACAGGCATTTGCTCAGGCTGCCTGACCTATCCAGTTTTGTGCAGACTAGTGTAGATCCTCAGAGATCTTGAAAACTAGTCATCCAGACTTTGGAGATAATTAGGCTATAACTAGTATGGTGTGTTTCCTGTGAATTCCCCCTTCCACATCAAGCCCCATCCACATGCTGGTGCATACTGGCATGCATATGTGGACATATAAACATGCACACAGCCACACACACTCATTCATACATTTATGCATGAACACAAGCAAGGTGTGAGAACAGGTTTAAAACAAACAATAATGTACACAAGACTTAAGATTCCTTCTTTGTTACAGCAAACAACAATTAAAAAAAAGCAATATTGAACTGAGGATTATGCGTAATACTCTAAAGAACCTCATTCAAACACAACACAGGATGATCTCTCACCTAGTGAAACACACACACACACACACACACACACACACACACACACACACACACACACACACACACACAAGAGTTACATCAACAGTCACCAGTTTGCACAATCTGCAGTAATAAAAGGCAGTGGGTATTCTCAGAGCTTTACAGACTGCAGAGAGTAAAAGTGACCAGCAGGGGGTTTTCAAACCCTCTCCCCAGCTCATTGGTTACTCAAATGCTGCATTCAGAAAGAGCACCTCTAACTGGCTGGTGTAGATGAGTGGCATGTGGTGGTCCTCCCCACAGAGGAGGAGTGAAAAGATGGATGTTGAGGGGGAGGGGAAAGAAGTCTATTTACAAATGAAATTTAAAGTAACATCCCCAGCATCCCTGGACAAGGAAAGCTAATAGTTTGTCAACTGGGGATATTTAAAAAAAATAATAATATTCAAGGTTGGCATGAGCGTTTGTTTCAATAAATGATTAATTGTATAAGTCACAAGAGAAGAATATGGAAAGAAGATTACCTTGTCCCATTCATGTCAGACAATATTCAGCACCAGATGAAAAAAGTATAATAAAATGATGCAGTGTAACATTTACAACACAAAGATATGGATAAGAAATAATATGCTGTCAGTTGCCCAAAGTCTGTTCAGGAGTTGATATAAAGGGATATCTGCAACAGCTTCAGCTCTGTGCTCTTCTTCTGTATTTAATTAAGCAGCAAGTTGACAATTTAATCACTTTGGCTGTCAACAGATCTTCATATTTTTCTTGTCATAGAAAAAGCTTGCATTTGGAGCTATGTGCACACAGACCCTGAATCAGTTTACCATCCCCCAGCCGTGGCTCCAAACAGCAGGGATGGTGAATGTAGAAGCAGACCAGGGATCAGTCTCTGGGTGAAGTCACCGTTTCCATCTGGGTGCAGGTTGACAGCTCCTCTCTCGCCCAGCCCCCCACCCTGGCTGTTACCTAGAGGCCCGGCTTGTGGCTTGTGTAATATTCTGATTGGCTGGCTGGCTCGGTGTGGGCGGGGAAAGGGGGCGTGGCCGAGCGTATTGTGATCTCACAATCAGCTGTTTTGTACGTTCTACATTCTGATCCGAGGATCAGCTGGAGGCAGCAATAAACAGAAAGAAAATCTGCAGCGGAAAAAATAGAGGAGGAAGAAAAAAAAATAGCTGCAGATGTTATGATCTGAAAACATCAGTGTAACATTTTTACACAAAGCCCTTCTTCTAAGAAGAAAGCCTTTTATTTTTGTATAATGGTGTTTTAACTACCTCACTTAAAGACTATCTAAAGCTATGCTTTAAATAATTGTTGTCGTTTCTACTGTGTGTGAGATCTCGTTTACAACTTGAATAATACTGCAAAGGCAGGTAAGCTATTCTTTATTTTATTTTATTTTTTATTTTTTTGCTTTATATCTGATACTTTGTGGGTTTTGTGTCAGACTGTGTGCTCCCAAGAGGTATCAAGCTACATTTGTCTCTGCCAGTGAAGCGGCTACATACCATACACAGAAAACATCAGATATCAGCCATCATAAAATCATAGAACATGTAGAATTACAGAGCTTTGTCTGTCACTGACTCATGACAATTTCTCTATCTATCTTTGACTGCTTTGTAACGACCTATTATTAGGTCAGGAATAGATCTGAAAGCAGCATAGCAGCCCAAACCAAACGGCTTAATTAGGTCGATTCGACGTCCTATGTCCCAAAAAAAAAAAAAAAAAAGACTCCAGCCTGCATACGTGTAATCTTCCAGGACGCCAGCAGCAGCCCGTTGTTTTGTAAATTGCACCAAATGCTGATGTGGAGTCAAGTCGATGGCGGATGTTGATGTTTTTCTTTAAGGCGGACCTCGTAAGGGAAGGGTTGTTGTTTTTTTTCTGCAAATGTAGTCACTTGGGTTATTATGTGAATAACAGTCTCATTGTGCTGTCAGTAGCCTCTCCAGTCTTTCGTGCAGTGTCGCTGAGCCACAACTGTCATTGCTTTGACCCTTCAGCTGTGCAGCTTATACGGATAATTCATGTTTAACCTGGATACCCTTACACAAAGTCCTGCCTCCTCTCGGCCGCTCTGCTCTGGACAAATTTGAGGCCGAGGTCAATGTATTATTCCGCTGCTTTAGGCCTCGTTTAAGGAAATCTTTGTGTATTTAAAATATAAACATTGTTGCTGTGAGCGTTTATTCCCCCTCCTCCTCCCCACCACCATAAGGGCAGTGGGTTTTCAACCCTCGACAATAGCAACCATTCACATACTACGGGTTGTTGGCGGCGCAGTGTTGTAAAGTGCAGATCGGACATATCAACCCACACAGGTTGCATATACACGGTCGTAACATCTTACATGTTCGCTATGTTTGCTGCTCATCTCTCTCTCTCTCTCTCTCTCTCTCTCTCTCTCTCTCTCTTTTTTTTTTCCTCCTGTCGCCAAATAGGCTCGAGCTTCTCAGTCAGCGTCAGTGACGTGTTCGCGACGTCACGGCCGTCTTGTTTTTATTTCGTGAGTCCCCTCCCATCCGGCTTCACTCCTCCTACTTAAAAAAAAAAAAAAAAAATAGACCAATGTCAAAAGGAAGATCCATAATTCAAGGCCCTTTTTATATATATATATTTAAGGATGTGCAGTTGTGCCTGTAAAATCTTATTTATAATGTGACATTTAAATAAAAACACCAAATAAGGACCTGTCAGTGCTCCTAGCGACCATATAAAAATACTCTCTCCTGTGTGTGCCATATCTTCATGTATTTCAGGTTTAGTCATTATAGATTTCCTATATTTGTCTTGAACACTCCTTATTTGACAGGAACAATGCTCCCTGATCAACAGAAACAAAGAACAAGCCTGGAGGGCTCACCTGTTGTCCCTGACCAGATGTCAAAAAAGCACCCTAAAAACAGAATAAAACGTCCGTTTTAACCCACCAAATTAGTATTTACAACTTAATAAATATGCACATGATAGCTCCAAACACATCCACCATTAATTAATGCCACAGTATAGTTACTGTGCTGTACTGTAATACATATTCATAAAGAAAAAAAAGGACTGTTTAAAGAGAAACAGGTTATATGACTGACCAAGAGAGAGTGGACACAGCAAGGCAGCCAGACTTGCATATTATCATGTTAACATTGTCTTCACTACACGTTTTCAAACTAATGCTGCACATTTGTCCCTCTGCTTTCTCACATGTAATAGATTTCACTTTAGAGGACATTTATCAGTGTTAATGGGTGGTAGTTGTTAGATAATGCTTCTACACAATATATGCCATGTATTCAGGATCTGTGTCCTCCAGGATATAATCCATATCAGTAGTGGTTGTTTGTGTGCTATTAGTAGTATCAACAGCTATATTTACACCAGTCAGATAGCCATGAATTAGCTGCCACAGCACCAAACTGATAAGTGTTTTATCAGGGAAGTGCTGCATGTAGTCAGTGTTGAATGTGTGTTTTTTTGTTGGTGTGTTCTGAACCTTATGCAAAGCAGCATTCAGGCTGTGTCACCAGAATTTTGTTTATCTGGATTTATTCGTCATGGTCTCATGACTTAAGTTTCTATTAGTCCAGGAATGCATTAAAACAATTTCAGTGTTGAGGATGGATCAGTTCAGCCTCAGTTCATAGTATCGTTTTGGATTTCCTTTGCAAAATCCCTGAAATACAACCATGGGCCTTTTTATTTAATTCACTGGATAGGATTTTTAACACATGACCTAAAAATTGAGTCAAAGTGAACTCATACAACCCTGAGTATTAAAAAATATAGCAGGGAGCTTTCTATCCAGTAGTGTCATAATATTTATTTTGGAAATAGGCCTCCACTTGCAGCTTTTGCCCCATTTTCTTCTCTCTTTATTTTGTTATTTCAAGCATACAGTCTCCCTGACAGAGACTATATGTGTTAAAATGATTAATATTACATCTGACATAAGAACTCTCAGGAGTATGTACTGCATGGTTGCAATTAGGATGGATGTCTCCTCCCTTAATGTTCCTGAATGCCATGGAGATTCTCCAAATAGGGACAGAAACAATTATCCATCCATGCATATCTCCTTCCATTTCTCCTTGCTCTGTATGTACATACCACACTTTGTTTCATCTTTTAATCTGTGCTCTATTAACATCTGTCATTTCTTGATCTACTCATTTAGTTGGTGAAATAGTTTCATGTCAGCAGCACATGTTGGATTTCCATGGGAATTTAAAGACAGATCAAGCAATGGGTCAAACTGATGGTCTCAAATAACTTATTATCTAGAATTTAAAGCTCTACAAAAATAGTATACAAAAAATAAATATAGTTTTTTTTAAAAAAGCATACAGGAAGAAACCAATTTAACTCAAGATATACCTTTAAGTGAGTCAGCAAGCTGCAGAAGTATTGGCAAAGGTTTGCACTCTGTGATCTAGTCTCTCCTTTGTCGGCCCTCAGACAGTTTAAGTAAATAAAACTCGGCCTTTGAACATGTAAGGGTTTGTCTTGTAAGTGATGGCTGTTCAAACATCTGTTCAACATTACATCATCATGTAGGTCATGCACTTGTCCTTTGCCTCAGTACCTTCTGTCCTTTGCATTTTAACATTGTGCACACACACTTTGTTTTACTTTGTGAGACTCTTTGTATCACCTCCTTTCACCTTCTCCTCTTCTTCTCTGGTCTGTCCATCTGTTCTGAGGCTGTGCTGATTGGTTATCTAAATTTGACAGGGGAGGGGGATTGCAGCCATCATCAACCAACTTCTTGCTTGCTGATTTGACTTATTTCTTCGTAAAACACATTCTTATCTAATACCACCTACTGTAGCTCAGTGTTCCTCTGCCAATGTATCACTGTGTCACTGTTTAAATGGATATAACCTTTTATATACAGGCTACGTATGAGTGCTGCCGTGTTGAAATCTCATTACTCTCTTTTCTCTTCAGTTGAGGATCTACAGTATATACTCCAATTTTGGTTGTCAGGGTCTTACTTGTAGTCCTCGACCTTTGAGTAAACTCATAAATCTTCATCAAGAAGCTGCTATATATATTTTTATATTAACAATGGCCAACTCCTATGGCCAATGGCCAAGTGGACAACTTCAGAGCTATTTAATTATTTCGGTTAGAAATAACAGAAATAAAATGTGTTGCTTCATCCAAGATGATTTTTAGATTCCCAGTTAATCTAATGTGCAGGCAATATCCAGCAATCTTAAAGCAGCAACAAAGAACTAAGGACAAAAGCAGTAGTGGCAGGCATTAAGAATAACTATAGAAATAGCTTCTTGCTGATGGTCTGTTGTGCTTATGTAGGTCATATAGAGGTATCAATATGACACTGAGTGTTTCATAACCGGTTAAAAACTCCTTGTAGTACGTTTAAAGTGGGAACTTGATGGCATAAAACTACTGTTTTTAATGACACACTGTTTGTGTCATCCTGGCATTACATCACAAGTCAAATTGCTTTGAGGTTTTAGTCCAAAACACAGTTCCAACTTGTTGTAATGTGTCTCGAAATAACCCTGAGAAAGTTCTTACCCCACACATTGCTCACTTATTGTGCTTATCTAATCTACCCTGATTTAGCAGTGGGAAAATAAACCAATAAGTGACTATAAGTCTTTTTTTAAATGTCTTTTTTAAGAAAATGTGTTGACAGTGAAACAATTCATCTACTTATTACCACTAACCACCCCTTCTTTCTTTCTCTTTCTCTCTCTCTCTCTCCAGGCCTTTGCTCCAACCAAGTGAAACCTTACATTTGCACTACAGAAGCCTGTCTACTCTGAGATCCAGCAAAGGGCTTCAATTGAAAAAAAGAGACTAAATAAATTAGAATCGCATAAAAAAACAGCAACAAGTGATACGTAAACACAAATAAGAAAATTCAAAAAGGCAGCTACAGCTTTTTCTTTGTGGACAACAAAAAGCACCTGAGTCATCAATACTTGATAATACAGCAGTCATGTTTCAGCGTCTGAGCAACCTGTTGTTTGGGGAGGTGGAAGAGGTGGCCGCTGAGCTGAAGGGACCCAACCCCTGTGTGACGGAGGCCGATGAGGAAGGATGGATGCTTGTCAACCTGCCTGGTGAGTCTCAACAGAGGAAGTGCAGTGGTGGCCTCGGATAGGACGGTGTGGCATTTTAGAGCCACACCAAACTAGAAAAAAAAAGTCAAATTGTGTTTTGTGTTCAAAGATTTAGGTAGCTGAGAAATACTTTCTGTTCTCTCTTTGCATGTCTACTAAGGTTTGAAGTGTAGAAGTGATGATGGGAATGATGAGGATGATGGGGCGAGGTGAAGAATCAGTTAGGGCGTGGCGCAAATACACTGATGCTCACCCATGTGGCTGCCACACCAACAGTGTTGTCTGTCAGACGATGGAAACACATTATTCTCTGTGAACATACATCTCCTTCCTCTTTGTTTATGATCTCAATCATGACAAAGGCAATTATTGAGTATGGAAATTTGCTTTGGTGCCTGTTCAGAAGCCAACCAAACATCAAAAGCAACATAAAAGTACCTCTCAGCAGAGTCAAGACAAACATTATGTCACTGACATAATCAAAACCTCAGAGGGTCAACACAACTAATGATGTGACTCTTTTATGTTTTGTGTTTCCTTACCCCTTCTTCTTCCCCTCCTCCAATTTTTTTAAACACCCTTACATTCCCCACACTGGTATGTGTGCGCGTGCGTATGTGATCCCTTTAAAACTGCCCCTTCACCCCGCATGGCTTTTTGAAAATCTACCACATTTACTTCATTTTTGACCTCCCACCTTAAACATCTGTCTTTATTGGCCGTCCCATTCCCGATCTCATCGCTGGCATGCGCTCAGATGAATCTGATTGCATGATGCAGGCGGGGGATGCACAATCATTTCCAAACAGTAACCAATCAAATCATCAAGACACACATACAAGGACTGAATGTCCGACCCCCATTCCCCACGCACCTCACAAGCGCCGTAGGACACATAAAGGTCGGGCACGAGGTGCTGTAGCATCATCAGACCCCCTGTCTTGTCCAAGCGCTAGCCCGTCAGACTTGGGTGCCACTACACCCGTGACCCTGCCGAGACGGGCCAGACTGTCTACGCCCTCCTCCACCCCGTCAATGTCCCCTGGCTCTGGAAGTGAGTGTGGGGGCAGTGGGGGTAGCAGTAGGGCAGGCGCAGAGAGAGGCTGCATGGATGAGAGCTGGTTTGTCACCCCTCCCCCCTGTTTCACTGCAGAGGGAGCCACAGCGGAGGCCAGCCCGATGGAGGACCTGCTCATCGAGCACCCTAGCATGTCGGTGTACGTCTCCTCGAACAACTTCTCCATGGTCTCCAACAGCAACCTGTCTGTAGTGGGAGAGGAAAGCATTGTGAGCTTGGCAAGCAGCGTGAGGTGAGAAATAGCACTCTTTATGCTAGCTACACTTGACCTTCACCTGCTTTTTCAGCATCAGCACGACTATCACAACAATCACACTCATTGTCACTTTGTGTTCTTTGTCCATGCAGCAGAGTGGCTGAACCAGCTGCTGTCCCCGCCACCCGCAGCACTATGCCCACCAGGGTGACCCGTGGAGCAGCTGCCCAGGCTGGAGCTCTGGCCAAGGTCACCCAAGTGGCCAGGGTCCAGCGTAGCAAAGCCCGCATCGAGCGGCGCCATCTGGGCCGCAACCGCATCCAACGCCAAAACCTCACCAGGGAGCAGGTCCCCCGCCACGCAGCCCACGCCAGAAACACCTTCCTTCACCAGCCTAGCAAGCGTAACATCTGCCACTAATCTCCCCAGCAACCAGGGGGCATCGTTTACTCTGAGGGCATTAGTAGTGCATAGTCAACTCCAAGACACACATGATTAAATGTATTCACCCAGAGCACATTTGCTATCATTTCTGCACATCATATCACATTACACTCAAATACCAGTAGACTAGTAGCTTTTTTGTTTTGGTTTAGTTACAAACTGACTCCACCTGGTAGTTTTATGCCCCATTCTGCTCTTATGAACCCAGCCCTCTGAGTACATCTGTCTAGACATTTATTATAATTATTGTCCATTGCAGTATCCAAACTACAAAAAAAAATTCAAAATATTTATACAGGTTATACTTAGTATTATTAATGTCTGAAAAACAACAAAAAGTTTAGCTCTGATTTTCTTCTCCTATCTTAGTAAAATATTCTCCTTCTTTCACCCTTTCTCAAGGCATGTTATTTTTGAAAACAATGAAATCTCTAAAATACTTTGTATGTTCAATTTGGAGATTATCTGAAATTTAAACAACCAAGTGTACTTTAAGATTCTTTTGGTGGAACAATGCAAGGCAGAGACAAGTTAAGCCCCAGTATCTTTGCAGAGAAAACAACTCATCATGTCTTCGAAGCTTTATATTACAGGTGATTATATTTTTAGAAAAAAGGTGGAAGGATATACCGTGTGACAAGTGTGAGGGGAAAATCACCAGACATTTGTTTCTCTCCTGTTTGGTCTTTCAACATGCAAAGTAACAGACAAGAGCGAGGAAACATGGCGCAACCTGTTTCATCATAGGTAACAAATGTTGTGATATTTCTCTCTTCTCACTTTGTGAAGGATAAGAGCAAGTAGAAGATGGTGAGAGTATGAGCAAAACAGACTAAAGAGTAAAAATAAATTTTTATGATGAATTAGAACTAGATAGCAATAAAAGAAATGTGGTTTACATAAAGTGGCCATAAGGAAGTGTTATGTAACCCTCTGAGCAGCCCTAGTTTTGCATATTTCATCTGTGTTGCTCTGGATAATGAATAAGGTATTTTGTTTTTGTGGACATGGACATTGGTCTATATAATAAATATATAGAAGAACTATTGCTAAGGAGTATAACTGGAGATGAGGTGAAACGATACAGGGCTTGCCTTTGGGTTACAGGGTATGGCAGGTTATAGTAAGTGCAAAGCGGTATTGATGGCAACTCTTTATTTTGTTTTGTTAGATTGTTTTTCCGCCCATTTTCTCTCGTAAATTGTAATATTATTTTACAGTCTCGCTCTCTGCATGCTTCCACCAAAGACAGAAAAGAAAGTTTGTTACTTGTCAGACAAAGAGAAAGTACACGTTTGGCTAATAAAGACATAAAAAAAAAAAAAAAAAAATCACTCCCTGTAGATCAATACACAGCATAATGATCATTAAATGTGTGGTCTGTAAACTAAAGTAATGTGCCCGGCACACATCATCCATTTTCATCCACGGTGTGTGCTGTGATCTTACGTTATCCATGTGAACACCAAAAAGAAAGTAAGATCTATTAACATATAAGCTCCTTCCATTGTCACTGACTGCCCAGGAGGCAACTGGAGAAAGGGGGAAGAAACGTCTCCTTAAATCTCCTTAATCTTTTCTTGCAACACATTCAGAGCTATCATCTTGCTTATGGATGTGCAACCCATTGCGCTCTAACATCGTCCCTGTCTCGTTAGCACATCCAGCATTAGCAGTGTCCACTTAAAGATCTAGCTTACTGATATGTATTCAACAACAATAGTAAACAATGGTGCTGAAGTGTATACTAATGTTTGTAAATTATTTGAGACATGGATGTAAGTTTGCACTGTCATACATTTTGTGAAAGTTTTAGCGGTGTGCTGTGTGCTTGTTTTAATTTTGTGATCTTTTTTTTCTTTTGTTTTTTGTTTTGATTCAAATTGTGTGTGAGAAGATGTACTGACACGTATAATGCTAGAAACTCTTTAAAAAGACATGGATAATGGTCATTTATTTGTCTTGTAAATATTACAAAACAATTGATACGCTCCGTTAGATGTCAAAGCCTCTCAGGACTTGAGTCCACAATGTTGTGTCCAATGGGACTAATGAGAATCCTCTCTCTGCCTCACCTCTGTGCTCATTATCAAATCAAGAGGGCATTTCAGTGGCCAAAAGTGGTGTTTTTGCCCCAGCTTCAGTCTCATCTCTTTGAGATAAAAACTCAGAGTTGATGTGCCATAGGCAAACACTGCCCTCCAGAGGGTCCACATAGCACAGCACTGGCTGTATGGATGCTGGTGAAGATACAGTACAATGACATGGTTTTATTACAGTCTGTACTGGTGTGTTCAAAGGTCAGATTGAGAGTCTGGGGATTCATTTCTGATTGTTTGGTAAATGGAAATGTCTCTTTAAGATCATCTAGATGAAAGAGATACTATTTTCCCTTGAATCACCTACCACTCATTTTTTCATTTCTGCCAGTAATCCTATAAATTACTCTGTTTTATTAGAAATCTGTTAATATCTGTTAATTTATGATATAATTATGAATATTATCTTTTTTTCTGTTTAAAGATTACTATTATGTATCCTGTTGATTCCTCTGAATGGTGCAGGAGATGGATCTGAGGTGATGAGGCTAACATGTGCACACACACACACATATTATGATCTCTCAATGTAAGCTTCCCACTTACGGACTTACTATTCAAACTGATTGTGTTTCCGATGTGGAATTTTGTTTACCTGTTGTAAAATAGTACATACCGACTGAAAACAGGGTAATAATGAGAGATCACATGTATGAAGTGTGTGTGCATGCAAAATGTAAAGATCACCACAGATACCATCTACCTCTGCAAACCTGTCCTGTTTTCCTTATTTTTATTTCTTCCTTTCTCACCAGTGTCATGTTCTCGGTATGTTGTGTGTGATTATTGAAAGGTGTGGTTTAAGACTTAAAGTCATCCAACAATGGGGAGAGGGAGTGGCCACCAGGTGTGTCGAGCCTATACGATGTGGACAGGGAAAGGATGAGGCAGGAGACAGATAGTTTATATATATATTTAAAAAAAATAAAATTAAATGTATCATAAAAATACAATAGAATATGCTTGTATTTTCCCATATAGTTATTAGAACAGTTGTTCACTAGGATGTTTTAAATGAAAGGCGCTGAATGTCTGGGGAGTTTCATATGTTTTATGTTGTGCCCTGAAATGATGGCAGCTTAAAAACACTTGGGGTTTTGCCCATGTTACATCTCAATTAGTACACCCCTCCCCCCATAAAAAAGAAATATATAGACATATAAAATTTGGTGTATCTGATATCTACAGTATGGTGATTGTGCCTTTCACTATTTCTGCATGGTTTTTGTGATGTTCTGATTTTTCCATCCCCAAAGTGGACGGTTGTCCACCGACAGGCAAGACCTATGCAAAAATCAACCGATGGGTTTTCCAGCATCAATTCAGAAAAACACAGGTACCCGCCAAAAAAACCAACAACAATAAATACTCAGGTTAACACCTGAATCCTGTGTCATTATTTTCATGTGGGAGAGCAGGAGGGAGCAGAGCAGAACTAGAGAAATATGTATGGGGAGGAAAGAGGAGAGGCAGGGGGGCGGCACAGCGAATCGCAAATAATCACAAATAGATATAAAGATATAGAAGACATTTGAACTGTCAAACATCACATTTTTGTGGTACATTAGTAAAGTATTGAAGCATCTAAAGGTGACATAAGAAATCAATAAAAAAAATTATTTCGAAATCTTCAAACATTTTTTCAAATACATGTCTTTTCCCATTGAACTGAAGTCTAAAATGTGGCTATAACAGATCATTGAATTAATGTCTGGTTGTTGTTTAAATTAAACTAAATGAATGTTAAGTTTGAGACGCCTGACACCAAACTGGGGTCTGGCATTTTTTAGGAGTGGCCACTGCCACCCTATGCCACCCCTCTAGATCAGCCCCTGTCTATTATGGTATTCAGATACTTAAAAGTAAAAGTAGTCTATGTACAATGTCAAAAAACACCCCATTACTAATACTTACAAGTGCAAATTGCACTTAGTAAAAGAAGGGAAGCATTACAATGTGTTAAAATGTGCATTATGCAGCAGAATGTCAGTGTTAATATATTATTTGATCATTATTATTGATGCATTAACAGGAAAGCAGCATTTCAATGTCAGCTGATCAAGAGGGAGCTCATTTGAACTAGTTGACATACATTTGGGTAAATCTTAAACAAAGCATCATATTTGTTATACCTTGTCAAAGTAAGTACAATATTAGGTCAAATAAAATATAAAATAAGACAGAGTGGAGATGAAGAATAAAGTGGCATAAAACAAAAAAAATACTCTTTTATTTGACTACACGTAAATTCCACCACTGTCGACACTGCAGCTGATAAATGAAGGCGGAAGTTTACAGTATGCAAAAAAAAAATGGAGAAGGTCAACAGACGGGCGTGGTAACAGAGTGTAAATACAGTAGGCTATTGGGACTGAACATGGGCGGGGTGCTATTATGCATAACGTGGACTTAAAGTGACTTGACCTTGTCAAAAGGGAGAAATTAGAAATAAGCAACTATAAGAGGACATTTTAAGATGCTTTATGCACAGTAGGGTGATTATGTATATTACATCTATTTCTTGCAGCAGAGTGGTCCAACTTGTGTGGTGTGCTGAGATAAACAAGTCAAAACAATTGTTCTTCTTCTTGTTGAGGGATCACATGAGTATTGTACACAGTCAGTTGATACTCTGAGGATAGGTGGAGGAGCAGGAAAAGAATTAGGCTTCATGGGAGGGACGAGAGATTTGTAATTGAAGCAGTCAAGCTATTCAAAGACCTGCTATAACCTGTCTGTCCGCTTCACATCAGGGAGACTTTGTCCTTGGGGCAATTTCATCATTGACTATTGTAACTATTGCACTGTAATATTGGCTGGGAAATGGCTTGAAGCACCTGTGCAGTGAAGGATGATTTTGTTCATCAGCTGTGGAGATGAGATTTAGTGGATCTTTACGGCCCTGACGCCATCTACTCTGAAGTAAGTCTGATATTGGCACCGCTAAACCCAACGCGGCCATCAGCTCTACATCCTTTATAAATGTGTGTAATCTAACATAATTTAGTTGTAATTTATTTAAAAAATTAAGTTTCCCCCTTTGATCTTCAGGTTACAGCCACAGGTGTATTTTAAATTCCAGCTAGCTCGTTTCTCTGACAAGTCTTACCGGTTGTCTGAAGCTGTAACGTGAAACCAACTTCCGCTGCCGTGTGGTGTCGTGATTCAGGAGCTCTTGTGGTGTTTTCGGTGATGACGGAGAGCAACACTCACTCACCTCACCTGTTCAAAACCCCCTCAAAACAACACCGCCGAGGATGATTTTTATTTGACTACACGTATTGTTTTTTTCTCCCCCGACGGACACCGGGGTGAGTAACACTTGCCTCGCTTCCAATTAAATGGGCACCATTAGCAGAAAGATGCGTTTGGCTCGCGTGTGACAGCGCGGGGGGGGACAAACGCAGGAAGAGGGTTGGCTCCGTGCACGCGCTTTATACACGCTATTAATGCTGTTTTAAAACATGTTACTGGATATTAATTTGGCTGACCGCTTTCCAGCGACCGACGGAGGCCGACATACTGTCGCATGTCAATATTTGCGGGAGACTGTTTACCTTGTGTAATGAGCATGCGACTTCAATGCGATTATAGCCTACGTGTATGCTTTCTCTAAGGTAATTCCTTGTCTAAAACTAGTTGATCTGCATGGTTTTGTTCTCTTCTGCAGGTGGCAGCCTACATGACTGGAGGAAATAAAAAAAAATGCATCATCATCGGAGTTACACACCCGTGTCTTGGCCTATCAGAAATATTTTCTAAGAAAAACTGCAGCTGATGGTAAAAACTACAAATCCCAGCAGGAGAATTGTTGATATAATGAAATATTAAAGATCCCATCAAGTCATTATTCAGCACTACAGCAACACTAGTGGTCCATAAAGGTATATTACGGTGATTTCTCATCTGGATGTCAGTGACTGATTACCAGATGTGACTGGGAATATGAATATCCTGGCCTAACTCCCTGAACACCCTAAGGATAAAGATAAGTTAAGTGTGTGACTGCGGGATCAACAGTAGCCATGCACAGCCCTGCTCCTGAAATTGTAGCTGGGTACCCAACCGGGTGCGTGGCAGATAAAGATGCCAATCCAGAGACGACCTTGGGGAGTGCCTACTCTCCGGTGGACTACATGAGCATCACCAGCTTCCCCAGGCTGCCAGAGGACGACATGCTGTCCGGGGAAAACACCTTAAAATCTCGCAAAGATGACGACAACGTCCTGAGTGAGCAGGATACAGGTGAGTCAGCCAGGGCAGACACATAATTTACTATAAGTCTTAAGGTTTTTGGATGTGGATTCATGGAGCAGCATTGTCTAATCTCCAGGAGTCGTTTTCACTATTCATTGTTGCAAGTCATTCAAGGGTGAATTTGAACTAGGGCTGCAACTAATAATTATTTGTATTATTAATTAAGTGGTCCAGAACCCAAGATGTTGAATTTACTGCCATATATGACAGAAAATCCTCACATTTGAGAAGCTTGAACCAGAAATGTTTAGAATTTGTTGGGTTTTTCTGTTAAAGTAGGCACTGACCCTTAAAATTGACACATTTTTGAATGGAATTTGGTTTGACACAAAAAGAACATAAGGGACATATCAAGAATTGTTTGTGTCCTGCTGTGTCTTGTTCAGTTGAAGAGTTTTGGCTTGTGTTGTTTGTTCCAGATCCAGATCTGTTTCTGAAGTCGGCTCGCCTACAGCGTCTCCCCTCCTCTGCTTCGGACCTGGCTAGCCACGATCTCGCATCCCTGCGGGAGACCACCGTAGACCCCTTTACAGAAGACTGTGCCTGCCAGCGAGATGGACTGACAGTCATCATCACAGCTTGTCTCACCTTTGCCACGGGAGTCACTGTAGCTCTCATCATGCAGATCTACTTTGGAGACCCACAGGTAGGAGCGTGTGTGTGTTGCAGTTGCACTTTTGTAACCATGTTGCAATAGTGTTGCAAATAATTACAGGTGATTATGGGATTATTCCACACAAGTCAGTTCGAAGGTATATTAACAATCTGTTTTCTGCTTTCCTGCTTCGCTCTCCTGTTTGTTGCAAGGTGTTTAACCAAGGAGCAGTGGTGACAGACGTGGCCCAGTGTACATCTCTTGGCTTTGACGTCCTTGGGAAACAGGGGTCCAGTGTTGACGCTGCAATCACTGCTGCCCTCTGTTTGGGAATCGTCCACCCTCACACGTCTGGTATTGGAGGGTGAGTGATAAAAACAGCTCTAAACAGGACCACCACTCAGGTTCCTAAACATGGTTGAATACAAAGATCTTTGTGCTGTGTTGACATTTAGTGGTGGAGTTATGTTGGTGCATGACATCCGTAAGAATGAGACGAGGGTCATCGACTTCAGAGAGACGGCACCATCTGCCATCCACGAGGAGATGCTGCATACGAACCTTGATCAATATGTAAGGCGTTTTTTTGGTGTGTCCTTTTTTATAACTGTGAGATGTTGAGTCTTTTTGTTATTGTTTTGTACTCTGGTTAATGTGTGCACCCTGTTCTTGCTGCTGCATCTTAGCCCGGCCTGCTGGTGGGAGTACCAGGCATGCTCAGTGGGATGCATCAGGCACACCAGCTCTATGGCAGGTACAGTAACTGTTATGTAATACAGTTTTTATTTGATTTCCCATTGTCGTGTCATAAATAGTCGTAGTCTACACCCTTCTTTGATATTGTTTGTTTCGTTTTTGAGACACGCCCCCTTATAGATAAAACTGTTGCTGTTTAAGACGAGAATAGCAAACGGTTATTTTGATGTCAGCTCTGACAATGTCTTGTCTCAGTGTTCAGGGCTAAATGAGTGAGATCTCACAGTGAAAGTATCACCAGCTGTGTTAAAAGAAAAGGCATTGTGGGGTTTTTTTTAGCCAGAATGCTGGGTTACAATTACTCCGATGCTGTGTAATTACCATGATCCTGATGCCTCAGCTGGTATGAGGATGATGTTACAGAGCAAACTAACTAGCTTGCTTTATCCATGCATCGAGACTAAGTGTTAAAACATTATGGATTATCATTTTGGAAGAGTAATCGAGAAAAATTAGTTCAGAGTGAATATATATATTTTTAAACATTTGTAAACTAAACTGATCTTTCGTCACTTTTGACCTCCCCAGAATGCAGTGGAAGGATGTGGTTACCATGGCAGCAGATGTGGCCAGAAATGGATTTAATGTTACTCATGACCTTGGTAAGTATAGTGTAATGTAGTACAAATCATTGGGTGACTAATGACACTACTCCTGCTCTTAAAAAAAACACCAGCATTGTCACCCGGCCTCAGTGTCGTTCCCGATTAACACAAGGTGAAGTCATATTTGAAGATTAGGGGTGATCTCATCTGCCCTGTCTCTCTCTCCCCTAGCTGAAGCTCTGGCTAAAGTTAAGGACCAAAACTTGCCAGATGCATTTCGGGATTTGTTCCTCCTGAACGGCCAGGCACCCCTCCCTGGGCTGTTAACCAGACGTCATGATTTAGCAGCCATCTTAGATGCCGTCGCAGTTAAGGGGATATCAGAGTTCTACAGTGGGAACCTGACACAGGAAATGGCAGCAGCAGTAAGAAAAAGATTTTTTTCCTCCAACTCTCTAACTGTAATTATATAAGTAGTCTTGAAGTCTCCATGGGGGAGTCATTTTTACCACTTAAACACAAGGCTTTCTCCTCAGTTTTTTATGTTTTGGCTAGGGTGAGGTAATAATTCAGTCCTGTCCTATTGTGACAAAATAATGATTCTGTTGTCTAAATGGAAAATAATTTGTTCTTTGCATTGTTCTAAGCAGATATTGTCATATAAAAAACTAGTAGTGCATGTTGTTTTGTCGTCTCTGAGAGTAAATGTACCTTCTGCTACTGCTGCGTATCGCTGCCATCTGTTAATATTTTGTGACAAAACACAAATACAGTATAAACAATATGGTAATCAAATATGATGTTTAAAAAGAAAGGGAAAGGAAAAGCAAAAATCTATAGAACCATTTACAGACATTACAATAGATCACATTGAGGTTTAATGCAATGCAGTGCAACAAAAATGACCATGCAGTTTAATCAGCTCCTATTGGACAAAGTTTGGGAATAATCTTCATGAAGGAGGTCATTATTTGCTGGGCTGTTTCATTGAAATGGGACTTGATTCCACTAAGGACCCATTTATTTTACATGAACCTTGAACCCTTCAATTCCTCCTCATCAAATAATTTACACATGATATAGGTATGGGATGCAGGCAGACTGTCCCCTTAGAGTGTAACTCAATCTATACAACACACATACCTTAATCAATATGTAACACCACGTCAAAAGCAACTCACATTGGGCACTATTTGTCTATGAATACATTTTAGTAGGTAATCTAGTAGAATTTAAATATTCATTGAGGGTCAAATTTTAGTTTATATTTTACCTGTTAATGACAGCACAGTGCACAGGACAAACAACAATCACCAGCTTTAAATTTTAACTCCTATGAATGTTTAATAGGTGCAAACAAGAGGCGGAGTGCTCACAGAGGATGACTTTGGAAACTACAGCACGGTCTTACAGCAACCGGCAGAGATCATCTATCAAGGTAAATATTTCACATCAGAGCTGGAACCCAACATGAAGCTGACTTGACCTGAATCATAGCCGATGGCACCTAATTACCTCATGGAGAAACTTCTTTTGAACTTAAATATGTTCAGCTCGTTGAGGACATTATCAGAATTACTAGTGTATGTATCTTTTAAACTTTACCAAATTCCCCCCCCCCATTTAAATGAATGGACATAATGTTCAGAGAGTAAGTGAGTCAGAGTTGCGGAGTTGGTTCGAGCTGTTAAACTGTTCTTAAAATGTATCTTCAGTTTCCTTCAGTTCCCACTCTTCATACATAATTTTTCTGTCATTGCAGCAAGAACAATATATGCTCTTTCTAACAATGTGAATAGCTAAGACTTAGACATTTTCAAAGTACTCAAAGTGAGTACCATCCAACTGCCCCATTGACTCCAATGTTAACTGAGACCAGAATTTCCTGGAGCAAAGAAGAAAGAGGGACGTTCTTAACTTGCTGTATTTACCACATTTTTGACACACAAATGCATATTTTATGGCGACACGTTCAGCACTGTCCCCTATCTCTCACAACAAAGATTTTGCTCCCTTTATCCCTTTCCTACTATTTCAACTCTTTATACTCCTTCAGCTGCTCCTTCATACAAAGTTAAGCCAGTAATGCAGTTCACATTAGCTCCCAGCTGTTCATCAAACAATGAAGGTCAGCGTTCAGCAGCCAGCCAGAAATGACATTGTCTAGTTCCTTGTAGTGCTGTAAATACAGTATGTCCCTCAAAATATGGACTTGATGGCAAAGACATGTCCACTGATGTGTAAGAAGTCTACATTTGCACTGCATCTGAATACTTTGTTTACATAAACATGGGCTGCTGTTTACCCAGCATGCAAATTTAATGGACATGAACTCATCCTATATATGCTTTATAATTAATTGTTTCTCACTTTGTTCTGTTTTTCTCATCTGCTATATTTCGCATTTGTTGGGAATATTGGAGTACTTTTTATTTTCTTTTTTATGTGAAGTTGCTCATATAATTTTTATATTGTATATAGATACGTTGTTGTATGTGTTATTTCTGTATTACACTACTATATACAACAAGCATATATGGTGCAAATGTTTTATTGTTACACTTATAGGTTTTATGTTCTTGCTGCAGTGGCCATGGGTTCGAGTCTGACCTGTGGCCCTTTGCTGCTTGTCATCCCCTCTCTCTCTCTCTCTCACTCTATCTTGAGCTGTCCTATATATTAAATAAAAACCCCTCAAAAAATATTTGTTTAAAAGTTTTATGTTCGAGTAATGCAATTTTCCTTTTGCATTATACCAATCAGTCTAGTTCTGCTTTTATTTGTGTTATATTTAATGTCGTCACTGAAATAATTACATTTTCAACCCAATGATTTGTTGTTGTTTCTGAAGGACACCATGTGATGGCAGCGTCAGCCCCGCATGCAGGTGTTGCCTTGATCACAGCTCTCAACATCCTGGAAGGCTACAACATTACCAGCCAGGTGCCCAGGAACAGCACCTACCACTGGATTGCAGAGGTTGCATTCTAACTGCTTCACCATTATACAGCATAAACAATCTGCACTGCAGTAATTCACATGATATTTACCTACGTGTTCATATTGCATTTCTCTTCCAGGCTGTGAAGATAGCTCTTGCCCTGGCTAGTGAGCTGGGAGACCCCATGTATGACCCTTCTGTCTCAGAGATTGTCGCCAAGATGCTGAGGTAGAGCTCCCCATGTCATCTTAAATATATAATGTTTATATCCATCCTAATTCAGTAAGGCATTTCCATTTAACCCTGCCCTTTGTTGTTCCCATCTCCAAGTAAATCACAGGCTTCCGTGCTCCGCCAGATGATCAACGACTCTCAGGCCTTCCCTGTCAGCCATTACGCTACATCATTTACTCTGGAGAAGGGTGCAGCAGCTGCCCAGGTCATGGTCATGGGCCCAGATGACCACATTGTGTCAGTTATGAGGTACATCATACTTTAACCTGCACATTGTTTAAGTAAATCCCAGTGACAGTTAAAAGTTGATTGATATCACTGGAAAACTAAGACCAGATTTCTCTTTTACTTGTGGCTGTTTTAGCTCTCTAAACAAACCATTCGGCAGCGGGATAGTGACTCCTTCAGGAATCCTCTTGAATAGCCAGATCCTGGACTTCTCCTGGCCTAATAAAACAGGGAGCTCATCACCAAACCCAGTAATTGTTCATTTTGTATTTGTTTAAGTGAATGCAGTATTGATTGATTTCTTATTGAAATATTCTTTGTTGCTGCACTAAGTCCTCATGGGTTATGTTTGTTTTTGCTGTAGCATAACAGCCTCCAGCCTGGGAAGAGGCCGATGTCCTTCCTGATGCCAACTGCAGTGAGGCCTGCCGTGGGGTTATGTGGCACATACGTAGCCATCGGATCTTCCAATGGAGAGAAAGCTCTCAGTGGCATCACACAGGTTGTTTTTTAAATTACTTGAAGAATAACTTCAATCCTACACTGATTGTTAGATCTCAGTGTGTGTGTATATATATCTTTATAGAAATGCATTTTTCCCCCCTGTGAGATCAAATTTAATAACAATGAATTTATGTATGTGCTATTATTCTGTATGTCTTATTCTGTTTTCTGATCCCTCACAGGTGCTGATGAATGTTCTGTCTTCGCGTAAAAATATGAGTGACAGCTTAGCGTATGGTAGACTTCACCCACAGCTGCAGCCCAACACCCTCCTTGTGGACTGTGAGTTTTTCCTAATGATCCACGATCCACGATCCATTCTTTGACTTAATTTGCAATTATAATAGCCATATCCTGCTATTAACATGCAATACGCATCTGGATATGTGCTCCAGAGCAATCCTTGTACCAGTATTTATGATTGTCTTAAAATCACATTTTTGTTTATACTATACAACGTGTATGAGCAGTAGCTGCTTCTATTGTCATAAAAAACAAAGGGGGCAGTTGTAGGGTTTAACACCTTGGCACAGTAAAATGCCTTTCTGACTTCCTGTGCTGTAAAAAGAATAATCTGCAGTTTTAGTGGGAGGTAGAAAAAACAATGATGATATGTTAGTAAATCCTGTGAACCCCATATTGCAAACATCACATTTCTTGCTGACTCCAGCAAAGAGATATATCAGCTTCTGGTACATTACCATAGTGATCTAGTACATTGGACAGATCAGGATGTTTTGGATCTGCCTTAGTCAGAGGCAACTTAAAGGTCCAGTGTGTAACATTTAGGAAGATCTATTGGCAGAAATGGAATTTCATAGATATGTCCTCTTCTATGGAGGCTCCCATGTTGAACCGCCATGTTCTACAGTGGCCCAGAACAGACTGACCAAACAATGAGTCTAGATAGGGCCTTTAACGTTTTTTGCCTTTGACCATATTTAGTTCCATTCTACCCGCTAACCTCAGCTCATACTTCTCTCTCCAACTGTCTCTTTCTCTCCTACAGCTGAGTTTCTAGAAGAAGACGTGGAGCTGCTGCAGGCTAAAGGTCACAAGGTGGAGAGGAGAGAGGTTCTGTCATTGGTGGAGGGCACCCGCAGAACCAATGACCTCATCATTGGAGTGAAGGACCCCCGTAGTGCTGATGCCTCCGCCCTCACTATGTCCAACATGCCCTAGTGCCCCCCTGCTCCCCCCATACTCACACATAATGAAGGAGGGGTAAGAGTAACACTGTGTGATTGATGGTTAGTGAGGGAGTAAGGCTGCTCATCAGCTAGTACATTAGAAATGAATGGCAAAGCACAGTTGTTTGACAAGAAAAAAACAGTCAACAAAAAGACATGCAGCTTTGTCTGAGACGACTTTGTAGGGATCTGATACGGATCGTACGATAGATATTGTTTTTTCTGGCACACAGAAAGTTTGCCATCTCACATACCGATGTTGGTGTGCCCTCTCTCACAGCCTCAAGTAACGTTCAGGCCCAGTGTAGATAGTGTTGAAAATGTATGTCTGTCCCTTAAGGGCATCAGTCAAAGTCTGCAGCCTATATTACGCAGAGCAGGACATAAAAATGCAAGGCATGTTCATAAAATTAAGATCTGATGCATTCCAGTTCCACTTAAAGAAAGCAATAAACTTTACCTAGTGCAGGTGAGAAAAAAAAATTGGAAATGTCTTATAGCTTTTGAAGCTATTTTCACAGTGTTGAGTTGCAGCTAGTTTTTGGCCTCTGGGGTATTGAGCAGGACATTCAAGTCTGAATATAAGATTATGAATTCTGATGAAAATGAATGATGAACAAAGTGATTTGGTGCAAGAATGGGCAGACATAAAAAAAAGAAGTAAGGATGCCACACCTGGAAGCCACCATTTACTACACATGCATGGTCCTCAGTGCATTTAAGTCACCTTTCCCCTCTTTAATTCTTCTACTGCATTTCACCATTATTCCACATAACACATGAAAACACGTGGAATGGTGAAGGTACCAATATTGAAACCTTGCATTGTCACACCTGAATTAGTCTATTCTAAACTGAACACAGGCTAAACCATTTACCCTCCTGCTCTTTATATGGTGTGTAACTGTGATTAGATGTTGTTTGGTACAGCTGCTGGAGTTTTAACTGTTGGCTCCTTGGGACCATGTTAAGACACATTATTTACACAAAGTACATCCTACAGAATTCTGGAAAGACCTCCACATGTCAATTGATTTCCTTAATCAAAAGGATTTGCTTCTGTTTCACAGGTGTTATTAAATTAATTATTACATATTACAAATGGCTAAATACATAACTTAAGACTTTTTTATCTGTTGCATGATTTAGTTTTAAATTAAAGCATACATTTTTTTTTATTTAGAGTGGGGATACTTGTTTTTAGAAAGGGAATAATCTGATTCATTACAGATGGATTGAATGTAATCTGTCTATTTTTATATGAACATTTGTTTTGCTGTATACATTATTTATACTGTTGTAACACAATGCATTCAATCAGCATTTTAGAAAAGGCTCTTATGTTTATTTTTGTGTACGTATTGTGTAATTATATTAGGTTTGAAGCAAGAACCAATAGCTTTTGTAAAGCATTGCATTCCAAAATGGCCAGTGCTGACTGATCAAACATGTCTTTAACCTTATTTACTCTGTTGTTGGGCACTAGTGCAATATGAGTGTTGATGCTTGTTTCCTGTACTGTAGAGTACCATGCCTTAAGGCACGCATTTGCACAATGCCTGTTTGATTTCATGTGCAGTTGTATCTGAATTTGATCAAAATCAGCAACGTCCAAACCCACGAAATAAAATGTTTGCACACACCCTATCGCTGAAGCATGTTGCCCATTTGTTCCTCCATACAGTACATTTGCATTTGGTGCATCTGACCTACTGTAGAATAATTAAGTGAGCTTGCTCTTTCCAGATACTGAGCTTTAGGTTTTTGGATGACTGGACTGGAGCTGATGTATTTTCCAAATTCCACATTGCCTGTATATTACCTGTTGTTGTTATTATTATTATTATTATTACTATTAAAAGGCAAAGTCCAATAAATGTGCACACCAATCAAGATTCTGCTGCATATATTTATATAGAGGCACTGCAACAATTAAACTGTACGTATTGTATAAGTGTGTATTTTAGCTGGGTTACTGGCTCCAAGGACCACAAAAAAATAACAAGTGAATTCAGAAAAATGACAAACAAAACCACCATTTTTAATCAAAAAAGCTTTAATTTTATAAAGGTGAAATTTGAAGGAAACGTAATTGTGTTTGGGTTTGAACTGATAAAAACTGTAAATTCTTCTTTTACTCCAGTATTATGTATTACTTCTTCTCCTTCCTTAATTGGGATTTTATTTTGAAAAGCAGCACCGGAAGCGGTATTTTATTTTCCTGTTCGCTTGACATCGTTTCTGACTTGCTTGTGATTCATGTTTTGTTAGCTAATCTGGCTAGCAGATGTCGACTGGCTGAACTTTGTTTTCAGATGAATATATGCGGTAAGGCTTTACATTTTCTCATGCGTAATTTACTGCTTATGGTATGTAGCAAGTTAAAGCTGCCACATTGGGAAGCTAATACGCAGTGTTTGAGTGTTTTCATGATGAATTAACTGCAGTGCTACACAGCTAACTTAGCTATCGTTTGCTAACTGGAGCTTTCGGAGAAGCCAGCAGGAACCGCCTTGACATCACTTTATTCCTCTTTTCATAATATTCCTCTAATCATCTGCTGAATGCGTGTTGATTTTGAATTGTAAGTGCTGTCCACATGTGCATGGAAATACACAATGATACGTGATATCGGTGTTCTTCCTGTCGACTTTGATCTCGTTGTGTTCGCTAACGTTTGCGCTAAGGCCCGAGCTACTGCTGGGCCGATTACATTAACCCAGCTGGCCACCGGTTGTGGACGTGCATTTATATACAGTATGACGGTATTTGACTTTAATGCAAATCACACTGCAGTTAAGCCTTATCTGGACCACCTACAGTCCCTTTTTGTAACCTTGTGAGGTTAGTCTGCTGGTAAAACGTTAGCAATCGCCGGGTCGGAGTGATGTCACTAATGTACAGGTGTGTTGATAACGTCATCTAGTTACTTGGATGATTTACAAAAGGGAAGAGTACGTTTTTAGTAGTTTTTTTTTTTTACCTTGTCTTACCTAAAGCTTACAGCGTATAACTGACACTTGTAGCTACCTGTTTAACAAGCATTTGCACACATATAAGTCCACTACACTAATACTGAAGGTACCCACTTTGTCACATCCATCGATTCTTAAGTGTGACACTAGTGCTTTATAGGATGCACGAGTGATCTGTGTCTCTCTGGTGTGCAATTTCAGCATAAAACGGTTCAAACGCCACTCCTAGTTAGAGGGGAGGATGGCGCATCGACGTACCCCACCTGAGCTGTCCCAGAGGACAGAGTACCTGGAACCTGATAATGATTCCGACAGGGACTCTGGTGTTGGGGATGATGCAGGGGAGGATGCTGACAGTTGCCATGGAAGCACGGTAACAGAAGAGGAGAAAGTCAACAAGCAAGATGGCAGCGAAGAAAACATTGGAGAGGGAGAAGATTTTACAGTTTTTGTTGCCTTTCAAGGGAATATGGACGATGAAGATTTCACACAAAAACTTGACTCTATCCTCAGTGGGATTCCAGACATGCTTGATATGGGTTAGTTTAATTTTATTCAACTCTTATTTATATTGGAAAATACAAAGAAAAGGGAGCTGCCCAGTACAGTTGTCTACTGTACTGTTGCCAATGTACACCTCTCGCTGTGTATCTGAGCTGCTTAAAAACACATTTATCCTCTTGGACCTTTCCATGTTTTATTATTTAATATGGAACAGTAGATATGCTCAATAAAAGATTACACTACTGTCACAGTACGAATATGTAGGCATAGATAATGGTCTGAATACATCCATTAGTTATTTTCTGATTCATAATTTTACCCTATTTAAGTTAATTTGTAGAGATTTGTGTTCACTTTCACATTGTCACTTTCATATCTGACGTACAACCACTTTGTGTTTGTTTCTTTTTGTTGTAAAACAAGCCCACGGGCTGCTGTTTTACAGTGTACATTTGAGACATGCCCCCATTTCTGTGTGCTGTTTTATTTTTCTTAACTTTCCTTGTCTTTCTCTAACCAATAGTCTCTAGAATTCTTTTCATCACGTATACACTTCAATTGCAACTTATATCCATCGATTGTCCCTTTTTTAGGCTCTGAGAGGCTCCAGCCACAGCATGTGGAGCCGTGGAACAGTGTGCGAGTTACCTTCAACATTCCTCGGGATGCTGCTGAGCGACTCCGACTGCTGGCCCAGAACAACCAGCAGCAGCTCAGAGACCTGGGGATTCTCTCTGTGCAGATAGAAGGTAACAGCACTGCCTTCAAAGTCCTTGCCACAAAAAAATTAGACAATGGGCCTCATGTATGAATCATTCGAAAGCACAGATGAGAACAATTGAAGAACTTTAGTGCCATTCATCAGTTTCCTAAGTGTGTTCTAGTCCACACATTAGAAAATATGCACAGAAACCAACTTTTTGTGCTGTGAAATATTAATAATGACGAGTAATAATTAATAATTTACCATATGGAAACTGTAGAGGAATGTTCTACAATTATTTTGCCATTTAATGATTTTTTTTTTTACAGTTATTAAAGATTATTATGTTACAGAGGCAGATCCTTCAAAACCTGTGTGCTGTTCTGGAGCCTTAATTTAGATCAGTTTTTTAATTATCTAATCCCACTACACCCCACCTGCAAGTATGCCTACTCATCACCATCAGTTTCCTGGATACTAGGACCTCCCAGAGAGAGACATCTCTGGCATATCCCAGTCCACTGTTTGAGGAAATCAGTTGTGTAGTGAGAAAACCTTTGTAGAGGCAAAATATGCTGTACCTTGCTTAAAACAAGTAGGTAAATACAATCAGATGAGAAGAAAATCTGTTGCCTAAATGAACCATTGAAATGACAGGTGTTTATGGGAGAAATTGGGCAGCATTAATTAAAACAGATCAAACCAGGTCAGCTTAGTCTTACCACAGTGAAGCCATACTGGTCAGTCATTTCAAGAATAGATAGAATAGAATAGATTTAATCCCAATTAATCACAATATTATCAAAATCACAATAAGGCCTGCAGTTTTTTATGAATATAAAATGTGTGTCAAACAGCATTATAATGGAGTGCTGCAGAGATGCCCTAATCTACAAATCATGTATCATAAATCCCACATAGGATTTTCTTATTTTCCTATTATTGCTTTGTTTTTCTTTTTTCATCTGTCGCACAGCAAAATAAAGTATACAAACTAGACCTGTAGTAAATTTATAGTAAGTAAGTTATAGATGTTCACTCTATTGTTGTTCAGGGGAAGGGGCCATCAATGTGGCTGTGGGACCAAATAGAGGACAAGAAGTCCGAGTGAATGGACCAATTGGAGCACCTGGACAGATGAGAATGGATGTTGGCTTTCCAGGTCAGCCTGGTCCAGGTATTAATTTACTGAGTTGATTACACATGGTCCCTCTATACCAACTAGACTGAAACTGTGAGTCATTATTGGATAGTAATTATTTTTATTAATAGTAGTTGTAGTAACAGTATTTTTATTTGTTTTAGATAATGATACAGTAGATAATATGCAAACATTGATTGATCTTATTCATTTCTAACACAGCTGCATCCATAAAGACATGAAATAAAGAGCCTAAATTAGTTAACTGTATTGCTTTTTGGTTTTTGTTTTCATTAGTGTGTTACGTCAATTCATTAGTTAATGATTTGTATTTAGTTATTTTCGTATTCAGTGTTTCGTCATTTGATAAATATTTTGTTTCTTTTATACATAATTATTACATATCCGCACATTTCCATTAGGAGGGGTAAGGATGGCTAACCCATCGATGGTTCCCCCTGGCCCTGGCATGGCAGGTCAAGCTATGGTACCAGGCAGCAGTGGACAGATGCATCCTCGTGTTCCAAGACCATCTTCACAGACAGGTTCAGGTCTTTATTTCTTGTACGTCAAAAGATGCATGTCGTAATTTTGAACATCTCCCTGCTCGGTCAGTACAATAATGGAAGAACTGCGTCTTCTTCACTCACAGATGTGATGGAGCCAATGATGCCAGGTATGTCGGTTCAGCAGCAACAGCAACTTCAACACCAACAGGCTGGTCCCCATGGCCCTGGCCCAATGCCTCCTCAGGCTGCCCATCACATGCAGGCCCTGCAAGCCGGGAGACCGCTCAACCCCGGTGCACTGCAGCAGTTACAGCACCACCAACAGCAACAGGCCCAACAGCAAGCTCAACTCTCCCAGCTTGGACCTAGACCTCCATTTAACCCATCAGGCCAGATGGCTGCGCCTCCTGGATGGAACCAGTTGCCCCCTGGGGTGCTTCAGCCACCAGCTGCCCAAGGAGGCCATGCCTGGAGAAAGCCCCCACCCCAAGCCCAAATTCAACGTCCACCCTCCCTTGCTACAGTTCAGACTCCCAGCCACCCTCCACCCCCTTACCCATTCGGCAGCCAGCAGGCTGGGCAGGTATTCAATGCCATGGGACAGGGACAGTTACAGCAACAACAGCAGACGGGAGTGGGTCAGTTTGCCGCCCCCCAGCCTAAAGGCCCACAAGCTGGCCCTGGTGGTGTCGTGGGACCACCCAGACCTCCTCCACCCCTTCCACCAACCTCTGGGCCACAGGGCAACCTCACTGCCAAGTCGCCTGGTTCCTCCTCGTCTCCTTTTCAGCAGGGTTCACCAGGGACTCCTCCCATGATGGCTCAGAGACCTACAACTCCACAGGGTTTTCCCCAGGGCGTTGGATCACCAGGAAGAGCAGCCCTCGGCCAACAGGGTAACATGCAACAAGGATTTATGGGAATGCCCCAGCATGGACAGCCTGGGGCCCAAGTTCACCCAGGTAAGTTCCCGTTTGTGACTGTTTCTTTTTACAATAAATAAATGTATTTTTGGTCATCTTAAAAGATTTGTGTATTAACGTTATTTTACATTTTGTACTTTGATGCCTCAAATATAAACATCAATGAATACTGATTATAGGCATGCAGAAGCGTCCCATGGGCTTTCCAACCCAAAACTTTGTCCAAGGTCAGGTGAGTGCCAGCACTCCAGGAACCCCTGGTGGAGGACCCAGTCAGCAGCTACAGAGCAGTCAAGCGATGACTCACACAGGTAAAATATCTACAACACTGCAAACAAATCTGTTTAATTTGATTATCACATAGTTCTGACAATCACGTGTACTGAGACAAGATACTTTACATTTTATAAAATAAACTTGTTGTGATAGCACATAACTGTAAGAAATGCACTTAATCTAGTAATGCTTTCAGTTCATCATCTACTTGTTGACACTGAGTAGCTTAAGATTTCAATTCTCATTTAGATTTGATGAACTGCTTTGTGCCAACAGCCTAATTTCACACTCCATGGCTTGACGTGCAGTTTACAGAAGGCATATTAGCTTATTACCTACCAAAACCCATTTAAATAATTTCCTTTTTCCCTCTCCATTTTACACCAGGAGCTCAGCCATCAGCCTCCACACCAAACTCAATGCAGGGTCCTCCTCATGCCCAACCCAACATTATGGGTGTGCAAAGTAGCATGGCGGGTCCGCCCCCTGGTACAACTGCTGGGCCTAGTATGGGGCAGCAACAGCCTGGCCTCCAGACCCAGATGATGGGCCTCCAGCATCAGGTCCAGCCCGTGTCCTCCTCCCCCAGCCAGAAGGTTCAAGGCCAGGGTGGAGGTCAAACTGTCCTCTCAAGGCCCCTCAGTCAAGGGCAGAGGGGAGGGATGACCCCACCCAAGCAGATGATGCCTCAGCAAGGCCAGGGGGTGATGCATGGGCAGGGTCAGATGGTTGGAGGCCAAGGGCACCAGGCCATGCTCATGCAGCAGCAACAGCAACAACAGCAGCAAAACTCCATGATGGAACAAATGGTTAACAAGCAGGCATTTGGAGGCAAGATTCCAGCTGGGGTCATGCCTGGCCAGATGATGCGTGGCCCTTCTCCAAACGTTCCAGGTAACATGGCTCAGTTCCAGGGCCAGGTTGGCCCACAGCAGATGACTCCACAACAGCAACAACAAATGGCTCAACTCCAACAGCAGCAGTTACAACAGCAGCAGCAGCACCAGTTGCAACAGCAACAGCTACAGCAGCAGCAGCAGCAGCAGCAACAACAACAACACCAGCAGATGAACCAGCAACAGCCCCAACAGGTTCCTATTGCTGGCAATCCTAATCAAGCTATGGGCATGCATGGGCAACAGATGAGGCTCCCTGCTGGTCATCCACTTATCCAACAGCAGTTGCAACAGCAACAGCAGTTGCAGCAGCAGCAGCAGCAGCAGCAACAGCAGAAACAACAGCAACAAGCCATGTTGCAACAGCAACAGCAACAACAACAGGCAGCTCAACAACACCCACATCCTTTGGTAGATCCTAATAGTGGGACAGGAGACTTGGGGGTTCAACAGATGGTCCCTGATATGCAGGCGCAGCAGCAAGGCATGATGGGGGGCCCTCAGCACATGCAGATGGGAAATGGCCATTTTGCAGGTCATGGCATGAACTTTAACTCACAGTTCCAAGGTCAGATGCCAATGGGGGGACCCTGTGGACAGCCTGGTGGCTTCCCTGTCAGCAAGGATGTAACACTGACTAGCCCACTGCTGGTTAACCTGCTGCAGAGTGATATCTCTGCCAGTCAGTTTGGGCCAGGAGGAAAACAGGGAGCAGGTGGGGGCAATCAGGCCAAACCCAAAAAGAAGAAACCTGCACGGAAGAAGAAACCCAAAGAGGGAGAGGGACAACAACAAGTAGAGGGACTTGGGTAATAATTTTACAGTTTTGGTTTTGCCATCATGGATAGTTAAAATAAATTATATCACTGTTACATTAAGTCTTGGATGCAACTTCATCTGTCTATTGTCTTTTTCTTAGTGGTCTTGATGCAGCTGCTGGCATGGAGGATTCCGAACTCCCAAACCTCAGTGGCGAACAGAGTTTGGGCTTAGACAACTCTGGCCCAAAACTCCCTGATTTTGCCAACAGGCCTCCAGGTAAATGACATAATCAATTTTGGCATTCTTTTTGTATCTGCATTAAGTTGCTAATTATTTTTATTAAATAAACTATACAGTAAACTTCACTTTTCCAAAATTGTACTTGTATCTGTTTTGTACATGTGTGCCTCTTTACACTTTCCATAGGCTTTCCTGGCCAACCTGGAGACCAGAGAGTGTTGCAGCAAGTACCCATGCAGTTTATGCAACAGCAGCAGCAACAACAACAACAACAACAGCAGCAGCAGCAGCAGCAGCAGCAGCAGCAGCAACAACAACAACAGCAGCAGCAGCAGCAGCAGCAGCAACAACAACAAATGCAGCACATGCAACAGCAGCAGATACAGCAACAACAAATACAGCAGCAGCAACAAATGCAACAACAGCAAATACAGCAACAACAGCAAATACAGCAACAGCAGCAACAGTTACAACAACAGCAGATGCAGCAACAGCAGCAGCAGCAGATACAACAGATGCAGCAGATGCAGGGTCTCCAGAATGCTCAAGGGCAGCAGGGGATGACTGGGCCACAGACTGCGGGTCAAGGCCAGCCCCAAATGCACCCTCATCAGCTGCAGCAACAACAGCAGCAGCAAACTCAACAGCCACACCTGCAACAGCAGGTATTATAATCATCACATACCTTGTTGACAGTGTTTGGTATCGACACACTGTATCTCTTCATACTTAATGTTGTACCCTATTTTGCATTTTAGCAACAACAGCAGATGATCATGATGCTGAAAATACAGCAGGAGCAGGCAAAGAATCGCATGTCCATCCCTCCAGGGGGGCAGCTACCTCCTCGGGGAATGGGCAATCCACCTGAGGTGCAGAGGCTTCCTGTATCGCAGCAAGGCAACATGCCTGTAATGATCAGCCTTCAAGGACATGGGGGAGTACCGCCATCACCTGACAAAGCCAGAGGGATGCCCCTGATGGTGAACCCACAGGTAAGGGGTAATTGCTGTGGCATATAAAACTCGATTTGAACATTCACATGATTTTAATTTACTTGTGACTGCAGTTTATTTTCCTGGGAGTAAACTGTATACTGTTTGTATTTTTTATCCTTTCTAGCTTGCAGGCGCTGCACGAAGAATGTCCCATCCTGAAGTAGGGCAGGGTCCCCAAGCCACTGGATCTGAAGAGTCCTCTGGAGGGGCCCACTCGAAGCAGGACAGGCCTGGTGGCCCAGAAATTGGGGTACAGTCTGGAAATGGCAACCAACAGATGATGGCCAATCAGGGTTCCAACACTCACATGATGAAGCAAGGGCCTGGTCCATCATCAATGCCCCAGCACACTGGAGCCAGTCCCCAGCAACAGTTACCCACTCAGCCTCAACAAGGAGGCCCCATACCTGGCCTTCATTTCCCGAATGTCCCCACAACCTCACAGAGTTCCAGGCCCAAAACCCCCAACAGAGCCAGCCCCAGGCCATACCACCACCCCCTCACCCCAACTAATCGTCCACCCAGTACTGAACCCTCCGAAATCAACCTTTCACCTGAGAGGCTAAATGCTTCTATTGCAGGGCTGTTTCCTCCCAAAATCAACATTCCTCTGCCTCCCAGGCAGCCTAACCTAAACAGGGGGTTTGACCAGCAAGGTCTTAACCCAACAACTCTGAAAGCCATTGGGCAGGCCCCTCCTAGCCTAACTCTACCAGGCGGCAACAACAACAATGGCAGTGTGGGTGGAAATAACACTAACAACAATCAACAGTCCTTTTCCACTGGTACTGGAGCAGGAGGTGTAGGCACTAAACAGGACAAGCAGTCTGGAGGGCAGAGTAAACGGGCAAGTCCAAGCAATAGTCGGAGGTCAAGTCCAGCCTCTAGCCGCAAGTCAGCCACCCCAAGTCCAGGGAGACAAAAGGGGACAAAGATGGCAATCGCCTGCCCTCCCCCCCAGCAGCAGTTGGTCAACCCTCAGGGGCAAACCATGATGCTAAACCCTACCTCAGTACCCCCAAGTCCAGTATCTATGCCTTCACAAGTGAGTGGTGGCATGGAGGCACAGCAGACCCAGAGCTCCTTCCATGGGATACAAGGAAACCCTGTTGAGGGAGTCCGGGAAAGTCAGGGCACGATGACAGCAGAGCAGCGACAGATGCCTCAGCCTCAACAGCCTTTGAGGGAGTTATCAGCTCCTAGAATGGCAAGTCCTCGTTTCCCAGCACCTCAGCAGCCTAAACCTGACTTGGAAATGCAGGCTGGCACAGGTGATAGGCAGCCAGCCCACGCAGCACCTATGCAGGACTCGGAGGTCTCACCTACTCTCAGGACAGCTCCAACCTCCCTCAACCAGTTACTGGATAACACGGGTATCCCAAACATGCCTCTTCGGCCCGTACAGAGTAATACTGTTAGGGATGTCATGGGAAAGGACAGCCCTAAGTCTGCTTTGGATCCGGAGAGACCACTCCACAGTAATTCCCAGAATACAGATATGTCAGCTTCTGCTGCGACTACTGCCACTATAAATGAATCAGAAGCTAAACCCAAACCTGCTGTTTCAATCCCTACCAGCAGTCCTAATTTGCAGCCTGCTTCAGTTCCCAGCTTGCACCCTAGCACTAATGTAAACTCCAATACTACCCCCAGCCTTAACCAAAACCCCATCTCCAGTCTTGGTGTCAATCCCAGTCCAAATGTAAACCCAACACCTACTCTCTGCCCCACCATCAGTACTAACACTAATGCCACCATGAGTGTAAGCCCCAACTCAGTCACTTCCGGTCAGAGCAGTCCTGCCTCGACTGTTAGTACCAGTTCTAACTCCAGCTCTGCTCTGAATCCAGCCAGTTCGGCTCTAAAACCAAGCCCTAGTCCTAAACCTGTAACAAGCGTTCACTCAGTCATACAGATCCCTGCCTCTTCTAGCACCATTTCCCCCAACCAGATTACAGTGTTTGTCACCTCTAACCCCATCACCTCTGCCCCTACTCCCCAAGCACCCACATCTATGGTTTCCACCATGGTAGCTGTCCCTAACAAGAACATTAGACCTCAGGACATCCGGCAGCAGGCACCCGTCACCCGACCTCCTCAGTTTATCACCACCACCCCTGTATTTATCAACCCAATTTTCCAGGTCCCAGGTGCATCTGTGGCTCCCAATTCCACAGTGGTATCACAGGCAGTCACCATGATGGGGCCAATTCAAGTATCCACTACAAACATTCAACTTTCTCCTGCCCCAAGCTCCACCCAGTCCTCAGGGGCCACCATGACTAGCACTCAGCCTGCCAGAAGTGCTGCTGGACAGGTCCAGGTTGCCACTAGTATCCCCTCATCGGCACCAATTGGTACCCTCCCATCTCCTCAGCAAATTAATCCAGGGGTTCTCAAAACAGAAAATCTAGGTGAGGCAGGTTCTGCTCAGAAAACTAGTCCCCCGGTTCAGCAGCCATCTCCCCATCCAAGCCCTGCAGCATCATCTCCCTTTCAGCCTCCTCTGGCTTCTCCTCCTCCTTGCTCTAGTCCTGGAGCTGTTAACACAATCCGAAAGAGCCCTATGTCTCCACCTCCCACTGCCCAGGTGAAAAGTAAACCTGCACAGGCTGCTCCAGTTGTTGCTGGTACAGCTGACCCTCAGCAGAGTCCTGTAGAAAGGCCTGCACAGGGGCCCTCTGGGGCTGTGCCACCACAGGTTTTTCATCCTCCCGCTAGTCCTGCCATTCAGATTGAAGCATTAGCTCCCCATACTACTGCTGCTGCTCAAAACAACATTACTCTGCCTGCAGTCTCCTCTCCAGTCCCAGTGTCTGGCCAAGTTGCTGTTTCTACTCAGATTGTTACCCAGGCTCCAGTGTCTGCACCAGCTTCAGTCTCAAGCCCAGCCCAGCCTGTAACTTCTCAAGCTCCTATTGTCACGGTAGTTGGTACTACCACAGGTGTCTCTTCTGCTACCTTGCTCTCTACGGGCGCTCCTGTACAAAGTCCTGTATCGTCCATTGTTCCTATTGTTGCTGGATCTGGGCCTGTTCAGGAGGTTCCCTCTACCACGTCCTCTCCAGTTGCTAACCCCAGCGGAGTTCCACCTGCTCAGTCTGACCCCCTGCCTATGGAGCCCTCCGTACCACCAGCAGCTGCACCTGCTGAAAGCACTCAGACCACCCCAGGTAAACACACAGTTGTGAGTTAAAAGAATCTACTGTTGTGTGTGCATGTCTCAGGTAAATGACCATATTCTGGCTATAATACTTGGTCAGGTTAATCTTTTGACTACCTTTTTATATAGGGTGTGTCACTGCTGTGGTAAGAGTTTTCTATTAAATGCCATATTAACGTGTAAGCATTAAGCTTGCCTGGATTTGCACATTTAAAAAGAATATGTGGTATTCCTGTTTTTTTCTTGTTTACAAAGGAAAACTATTGCTTTACACAAAAACTGTTGCCAACTCGAGGTGATATTCAAGGGGAGACAGTTGCACAATCCTTCTGCTCAACACTCTATATATGTATTCCTGACTAATAATTTGTTTCATATATTTAAATGTGTCATTTGAGCTATTTTATACTTTTCCCCCAGCACCTATTCAACAAGAAGTCCCACAGTCCCAGGAACCTGTTGCCAGTGAGAAGACCGGTACGTGTGTGTTGTTAAAATGCCTGTACTTGAAGAGAAAACAATTTCATATGATCTCATGAGTCACTTGAAATACGTGGCAGAAAAATAACTCTTGTTTCTGTCCTTTTCAGGTGAAGAGGTCTCAACAGGTTCTGAGCAGGGGTAAGACTCCTCAAAACATTTATGTTCTTTTAACTGCTGTATTATTGATTGATTGTGTAATGCTTCATGTGGTGGGGTCTATTAAGGTGTCCCCTACTATTGATCTCTCAAAAGTTGGCCTAGTCTTAAGACCCGTGCTCTTGAAGGAGAAATGCTTAGACATTTCTAACTCTACTGAAACTCAGGGAGTTCATTTGCTTGGCCAAGGGGGTACATGGCGAAAACAATGAGCCACGTGGCCTCAGCACTTGGTATGTATGATTAGCATGCAATAATAAATATAATAATAAATAATACTAATGCATGTCAGAATTTTAAACAAACAGCCTGTCACAGAGCAAATTGTACCACTCCGCTGACCTTTATGGCCATATCTCTTTTCCTGGGGATTGTCATAATATGGTGGGGAAGTGAAGCCATGTTTGTTCAGCACAGTTTATAGTTTACCGCTGTTTTTCCACTTCTATCACAGATGGGCAAAGAAAAGAAAGACGCCCATCAACTTAGTCCCAAGGTATGTATTTTAACATGTTTGCGCTGCAAAGACACAAGCAGTGGTCATGTCGACGTAGTGGATGCTGTCGGGATGAAGACGGACAGTATCTGTGGTAGACGAGGAAAAACAGCCGAGTCCTGAGTGGTATTATATCTTTCTCTGAGTAGAGCAGAGTTAACTCACACCCTTGCATCTTTAGTAACACATCCCTGTGTTGTCCTTCCTTCCTTGTTGTTTGTTGTTTTTCTATCTGGTCCTCCCAGAGCTGCTGTGGAGAAGCCCAAGGGACCGAGCAGACGCAGCTCCCGGGCAGAGAAGGAGGTGGAGGAGGAGCCAGTAGCGGACAGTGGCATTAGGAAGAGATCAGCCAGGCCTGGAACCAGTGCTGCTGTAAAAGGTGACTGTAAACACATAAGCAGCTGTAAAAGATGGGATGTCTATCGGTATAATAACTAAGCTATACATGTTACATTACAACCTTTTCCCTAATACAGTATACTTTGTTTTTGGTTTTACAGAAACTGGAGCAAGCCCCACCCAGGCCAAACGAAGGAAGTCTAAATAGCCTGTGAACTGTACTGTAAATGTTTTTGTTTTCCCGCTGTGAATCAGTTGATATATCGGTTTCTCTGTCCCAGATTATGAATTTTCACTGGAGGAAGAAACCCATGTACAGATTGTTTTAAAAAGAATTATGCTATTGTTTTGTCCATGCTATTATGTGAGATTGTAGTTAGAATGTGTGCATACAAGTATGTGTTTGTGTGAATGTGCTTTTTATATTAAATGCTGGATTAATCATGTGAAGACTGATAATGGAGCTTGTCATGATTGTATAATTATGTTGTAAAACTGAATTAAATTTTCTACTGCTTTTTGTTCTGTGAAATTGTGTAAAATGATTTATGTGTCATTCAGATTTCAAGTTCAGTCTCAGCCTGCTTATCCTTAGCAGTACTGCATTAATGTACTGTATTATTGATGAGCACAAGTCGGAGGAGGAGTGTGATGTAAACAGTCAGAAGTCCATTTAGGTGAATAATTTTAAATTATAAATCTGGACCATAAACATGTATCCTGAATGACTCTTAATAAAACAAGGAGGCATTTTAAAAGATACCCCCATCCACACTGCCGTACCTCGTTTCACGTTTTGATGCTGGTTCAGGTGTGGACCTCGCAGTGTGGTACTCTCTCTGTGTTGGAGGTTGGTTGTGAGCATGCGCAGTGGGTAAACGTTGGGACTCCATTCCAGTGAGGGTTCCCTGAGCCTCGCATCCTGAACAGCTGTCTACAGTGACAACTTCACCTGCTTTACAAACAAAAACAACTTGACCATGAGCGGAGATCATGGACATGGAGACTCTCAGGTACCTCTTGGTCAATAATTAATGTCTTTGCTCAGTTTTGTATGAATTGCTTTGGCAATAAACGACATAAAACTGACGAGTATTAATCGTCAATATGAAATAACGGTGAAGAAACGATAGCAAGCGATAAACATAATAAGTTCCGCTGTTTGTCTTCGTCGTCAGAGTCCAAACTTTGAGATTATGTGTGCGGGTTTGCATTTTACTGTAGTAAAATACATGTATTACTGAGGTATATTCGTGTGCCAGATGAAACTTGGAATAACCGAGCTACCGGCATTTTCAAAATTGAAATATTAAAAACATTTTTTTCCACAATTTCCAGGTCAATTCCGGATCTAAAGGAAGCGGTAGGTCCTCTGATGGGGATTTTTTTATTCATACTGACTGATTTCTAAACGGAATCGTGATCTGTCTACTGTTAGTTTTTTAAAGGACAGAAATGGCGTCCCAGAGACTAAGTCCCTTCTCCTCCACTCTCTTGCGGCTATTGTTCAAAAAGAGGGTCTGAAATGCACACTTGCGACCCTCGGTTTTTTAATCTGCTGGGGTATTCCTACAGGGCCTGGCATCGTGTTTATTTTGCATGTTCCAGTTTGACAATATGTGCGTGCAATTGCAACGAATTTTGGAGCCGAAAGTGGCAGAATTGGGGCTGAGGACTTAGTCTCTGCGCCATTTTCTTTTTCTGTATGTAACAGCCAGGGCTGCCGATCAGAGAGCTAACTGTCTGCCGTGATATGGAGGCGAGAGCTGGGAGCTTATCGCCTCTCCCTGCCCGTATCTCACCTCCAGCTGCGCTCTGCCTCCATCTCTGTGCTAGTACAGACATTTATCTGCACTGCCAACAGGGAATACTCACACACGAGTTTAAAACTTTGAGTCACAGAAAAAGAAAGTTGCACTACATTATTAAAAGCATATGCCTTGAGCAGTCATTTTTTACACATTATAGTCCCCGCACTACAGTTTCTTGCAAAAGTTAAGAGCACTTTTTTTTTTTTTTTTTTTTTTTTTTCTTGCAGGCTTAATTTGCTGCATGATGTGATGGAAAGCATTGAGGCATGAGGGGGACTGATTTGGTTTATAACTGGGATGTGTGTTACTGTTTCATACAGCAGATAATACCCGTTATTAAACTGCCTGCCATGACAACAGGGCGCCACGAGGTGATGATCAAGCCAAGCCAGGTCTACCTCAGGAGGGATTTCACCCAGCAGGAAACATTTTAATATGAAGACTCATGTAAAAATAATTATTACAGCTTAATCATTTGACTAAGCTGCACCGAGAGTATGAAAACAAATGTTCCTCTCAAGTGCAATCTACTGATATTATTTTGTATCTTTAAAAAGTACACCAAAAGTTAGATTAAAGCCCGCTGACAAAAGCTATTATGTTTAATATTAGAGGCAATTATTGTTGTGAGGGTATAGTTGGAATATTACAGTGATCTTGTGGCAAATACAGCGTATAGCAGGGTTATTATCAGCTATCACGATCAAGTCCCTTTTCTTTTGTGGGGGAAGCACTTCATGCATTTCAGGTATGTCCTGTAGGATGAAGCTGGTGGTTGAACCTCGGAGGGGATTGTGGGTCAGCCACAGCAAATGTGTGTTGGGCAGTGAGCGCTTATAGAAACAAAACGTATTGACTTTCAACAGCAGAATGGAATATAGAACAAAACTGCGTGTTTTTTGTATGTCAGCTTGTGTTAATACAGTGGTTACAACCAGATATTTTTAGAAACAAAAGATTCACAGATAGACATGTTGAGATGTTTTTTTGTTCTTTTAATGCTGCTGAACAAGTTGATCTCTCTGTTGCATCACAGACTCCCACAAACATAAAGACAAGCACAAAGACAAGGAACACAGACACAAAGACCACAAGAAAGACAAGGAGCGAGAGAAATTCAAGCACAGCAACAGGTACGATATCTCCAGCTTCCTCTCATTTTTTGGGTGAAATAACCAGGCAGAACTTGAGTTTATGTTTTTATATATGAACTGACCTATGCAGGTTTCTGTAGTATTTGTGTATTAAAGTTGCCTACACCACCTGAAGTTATATTTCAGTATTTCCTTTATCTCCTAACATACTTCTCCTCACGATGCTTTATTTTACACGTGTTGCTTTCATTTAAAAAAATAAATAAATGTTTTGAACTAGTGGTTTCAGCTGTCATAACTGAATCTTTTAACATAGAGGATAATGACAAATTCCATGCACTTGGATACAGATTCTGCCAGTCTGCAAGCTTTTCAACAAGGACATGAAAGAATCACCCTGCTGCTTTAATTGAAACTAATAGAAGCCTGCCATATTAGATCAGAAAGCATACATCACAAGGACTCCATGGAATCCACTTTTATGAATGACATCTGCAGAGCATTAGTAATCTGAACCATTGTGGAGTAGTCGTCATGTTTTCTTTTTGTCGGGTTGAAATACTTGTGGGCTGCTGGATGTTAGTAGAGTCACGACTTTGGCCGTTCTTATTGGCAGCTGTCCACAACACTGTCACTAATGGTTACATTTATATTGCTGGTGGTTTGGTGCTTTTGTCGATGGCATCTTTTGTGTCTGTGCATCTGGACCACGACTGACCTCTTGCAATTGATCTCTGACCTCTGTGGCTTCTGTGTTCCAGCGATCATAAGGACCACTCTGAGAAGAAACACAGAGACAAAGAGAAGCTGAAGCACAGCGACGGCAGCTCAGACAGGCACAGGGAAAAACACAAAGAGAAAGACAAGGACAAAGAGAAGAGGAGAGAAGAGAAGGTTTGTTAATGGGTAGTCAGTCTGCCTTTTATGAAAGGCTGTAGAGGCCTTTAGTGTAAGTATTATGTTGTGTTTTCTGTATTACAGTATTATTAGTTTGTGACATTAACTTAAAAGCTTTGTTTTGTCATGATCACTACATAATTGTTTTATTATGGACTCTGACTACGAGTTAGTATTTAAAGGTGTGAAAGTGGATGAAGTACGTTTTATTTATAAAAAGACATGCTAATATGTTTTTCCCTGTTTCTCACAGATCAAATCATCCCACGTAGACAAGCCTAAAAAGGAGAAAGAAAATGGATATGTAAGGTAAACAGCATCACTTTGTTGTGTCTCACGTAAAACAAAAGTAATTATAAAGCAGTCCTAACCGTAAGTCATTTAGCAGATAATTTACTTCCAGCTTAGCTATTGCTTTCTTATGTTTAATGTGATATTTTACTTTACTAATATGCAGTTCATTGTCTTCAATGTATGACTTAGAGATACAAGTCCTGCTGCCATAAAGAGCGAGCCTGAAGAAGACAACGGCTTCTACCCCTCTCCCCAACACAACAGGACCTCCAAACGAGAGTATGATGATGAAGAGTGGGTATCATACAAATTCAACCAGATCTTTACATCTTTATGCTTCCCGTTCTGTCACTGTCAGTTCTGTGATCAGAGATACAGTCATTGTCAATATATCTGTCTACAGATTTGAATACAAACCCAAAAAAGTCAAGACAGAACATGACAAAAAGGCCAAGAAGAGGAAACATGAGTACGAAGAGGATGAGGAGGATGAGGTTCATTACTTCTTAATACTATTTTGATGAACACATTCTCATATCCCCCAGGCTGGAGTGTCTGCCGTTTGTGGCTCCAGTGTTGTTTTTTTATTCTGTTCTCATCACTCGTTTCAGGACATCAAGCCCAAAAAGAAGACAAAAGACAAAAAGGGAACAGAGGGAAAGAAATCCAAAAAAGAAGAAGAGGAGAAGTGGAAATGGTGAGATAATTTTTGGGTTCTTTTCCTCAGGAAATTACACATACAAGGACAGTTAGCTAATATAAACAGCTAGATACCATATTTGTCTTTTATCTCACGGGTTGTACTTTGTTGTTGTTTGTGGTGATTAGGTGGGAGGAGGAAAGATACACTGATGGCTCCAAATGGCGCTTCCTTGAGCATAAGGGTCCAGTGTTTGCCCCTCCGTACGAACCCTTGCCTGACAAAGTCAGATTTTACTATGATGGTGAGTCCGTCTGTAAGAAATAAGTTGCAATGTTTATTAATAATAATAATTTATTAATAAGAATTAGAATAAGAATTTAATAATTCATTGCTTTTTTCTGTATTTGCAGGTAAACCTATGAAACTAAGTGCCCCTGCTGAGGAGGTAGCTACATTTTTTGCCAAGATGTTGGATCACGAGTACACCACTAAGGACATCTTCAGGAAGAACTTTTATAAGGACTGGAGGAAGGTGAGGAGATAATAGATGTTCAAGTGTCTTAAGTTGAGCGTGCGAGTCTACAGAGGGTGTGAAGTTCAAGTATTTAGGTTGGACGTGCTTTCGATCGTCTCTGTTATTTTAGGAAATGACATCAGAGGAGAAGTCAAAGATCACCGACCTGAACAAGTGCAACTTCAGTGACATGAACGAGTACTTCAAGGCCCAATCAGAAGCTAGGAAACAGATGTCAAAAGAGGAGAAACTGGTAGGCCTGCACTCATGCACACTCTC